TCTATAATATATATTAAATATAATATATCAATATATTATATTTATATATTGAGAGAGAAGAGAGAGGAATGAATAATGTTATTTGAAGGGATGATTAACAAATGAATACAAACCACATATTTATATTGAATGAAAGCTACTAATCAGGAAGCTAATGCTCCATGTACTAATGCTATAATTTAGGCCACTCTTCACATACAATGCATGACCCACACCCATTACTTTCATTATTTCCAACAAATTAACTAATTATTAATTACTTGCTTGGTTTAATAATTATAATAATAATATTATTATAACAGTCTACCTTGCATTGTAGACCCTGGTCCAAAAATAACCTTCAAATTCTGTATTTATAGTTGACATATTTTGTACCTACAATTGATAGTTTCTGTACCTATAGCTATCATATTATATTATGTGTCAGCAATTATCAAGTTAATTATTTGTTTACATGTACAGAAACGATTAACTGTAGGTACATAATGTGTTAACGGAAGGTACATAATTTTTGTATCAGAGTTCACAATACAATATGAACTCTGGTGCATAGGATAATAATTGGCAATCATAATGACTAAATTATATTGTTTCCAGACCAACTCTTCCATTGCGTTTGTATATTTGATGAGCAGGCCAGGCCGGACTAGAACGATAAGATGAACGTACTAAGCATTATATCCACTTCGATCAGAAAGTGTATTCTGAAACTGGAATATAATGTTGTAAATACTACATGTGTTTACACATAACCACTCCGACTTCTTCCCATTTGTCTTTCATGTGCGTGTAAAACAAAACAAAAAAAGGGGAAAAGTGAAACTAAAGAATAATAATAAAACATTGACCTTCATACATATGAACAGGAATTTGGGTCTTTCCCACCAACAACAACTAACATAGGCTAAGTATACATCGATCTCATCCCAAATTTTATATATATATATATATATATATATATATATATATATATATATATATATATATATATATATATATATATATATATATATATATATATATATATATATATATATATATATATATATATATATATATATTGCGCACACTTTTCTAATTAATTCTATACTAATAATAATTTCCATCATCTATCTGATGACTCCTTTCCTCACTAACCTAACCTTCCCGGCCTATTGATTAGACTAAAAGAATTGAAATGCACTTTGTAGTGACATCTGACTTTCCCCTTCCAATTGCATACAACTTTATTGTTCTACAAAATATGATCCAATGAAACATAACAATAATAATAATAATAATAATAATAATAATAATAATAATAATAATAATAATAATAATAATAATAGCATAGATTAAATCGGCTGTCACCTTATGTAGTTATGTGTTTACACTAAATTGAAATGTAGATATAAACACAAATTTGCATTTAATAACTATTTAAATTCAAGGTGTATGGTATATGAACAATTAGATAGCTTCAATCAGTTAACTGTTACGTTGGTGGCTCAATAGACAAGGCCCTGTCGAGTTTTAAACATTGATCTCTTCTTTCAAATACAAGTTACTGAATTAGTGAGTTAAATTCATGCCGACATGTAATAAGTTAGGTTAACGAGAAATATTATTATGGTGCATTTTTGTTTACTTAAATATATAATATTGTTGCCACTGCACCCTCTAATGTTTAATTTGTTTATTATCAAGAAAATGGCGCTTGGTGGTGGGGAAGGGTCTCGGCCAGTTGGCCTCTTGGTTTCCAAATTTCACATGTTTTAATGATTTTCGATGTTTACGGAGTTATTAAGGGCTGCCTGTAAGAATTAGGGCATTTGGATCCTCATCCTTCTTCAATATAAGTAAAACTAGAAAAAAAAAAAATGAAGTTGCAAGAATATAGGGAGAAAGCGGAGATTTTTTTTTTTTTAAATATTAATATTTAAACTATTCACTACAATGACACAGGTTGGTTTCTATTTATAAATGTGGGAAACATATTCTAGAAGACCTATGAAAGATAAAGATGAAAGTATATATAGTTAGAGTTGTCTATTAGTCTTGTTGATTTGAGCGGGTCAGCTATGACAATCTAGGTTGGTTTATCTTATTATATTGCGGTTATTTACTAGTTAGGATCACAAGTAGGGTTTACCTCATACATACCTTCAGATAGTGGCTGTGAGTTTCTTTCGTCACTAAAGAAAATCAGAGTACGTTAAAAGTTATTTAAATATTTGTTTGTTTATACTTTTTTATACTTCCAATTTCAAATTAAATCACATTTCAATACCTTTTGGTGATTATGGACATGGATTGTATCCATATTTCAATTTTTTTATGTATTATCAAACATACACATTACTTTTACTAAAACTCTTTTATATTACGAATTTGGTTTTAAATTTTACTCTATTTTCCAATAAAGAAAACCCCCTAAATTTTACAAAATAGGAAATTTAATTTGGCTCACCCAAAATTTGTTTCTATAGAATGGCATTATATTCCTTTTACTTCTAGTGCATGCATGCAATACTTATGTTAGTTTGGCTTACTCATGAAATGCTTGTGTTTCTATTCACACAATTTTTGTACTATTCACAATAATGATTTTTCCGATTATCAAAAGTGGTCGAAACAAGGCTTTCGACTTGATATAAGATTACTTTCAGGAGGTCGGAAATTTCATAATTTCCAGCAGTGTCATAACACAATACACATAAACTTTTAACTAAATACACATAATAGGTTTGGTTAACATAATACACATAAACTCATAACACAATACACATAAAATTTTAACTGAATACACATAATGAGGTTTGGTCTGTTCAGATGGACAAAGTGTTGTCAGTATGACGTCAGCATGAAACGCGTGCGTTTTGTGCTTGAGCGCACATTTCTATGTACGCCGTGGTGCACGATATAAATTGCCCTGAATTATACATAAAATACTTTTTTTAAAAAAATTGGATCGCAAAAATTGGAGCCCTTAGCCGTCGCCGGCCTTGGGCGCAAATTATGCTGTGCAATCGGGTGCACACGGTTGCAAAAACGACGTTGTTTTGACTAAAAACGCGCATCCCACTTAAAAAAAAAAAATTCAGGTTCGATTTCCGGCGATAGCATTTTTTTTTTGTGCATAATTTGAATTATATATCCACAAATTCACAAGTGTATATCCACAAATTCATAACTATATATCCACAGTGAATGAATAAAACAAAATCCAGAATGAATATATGAACTAAATATCCACAATGAATGAACAACATAATACTGTTGAGGGTAATCGAAACTGAATTGCACTTTTTGTAGTGTTTAGTGGCCTAATTACACTTTTTTTTTTTTTCGTTCAGTGGCCTAATTGTATTTTCAAGTTATGTTCAGTGATCAATTTGAACCTTATTATTATTTTTTTTAAATGAGACGCACATTTTTAGTACAAACGACATTGCTTTGCAATCGTGTGCACCATGCATGGTGAACTGCATGGTGCACACGATTGCACATCATAACTATTGGCCCGGGGCCTGGCATGGACAACAACGTTATTAAACTTGTCTTGAATTGAACCATCTATCTTTGGATTGGAACAAATAATAATAGCTATGCCGAAATCTGTGTGTGGACTGTGGAGTAATAATGACTATATTCCATCGCACACAACAAATTTAATTATTCAACGAACAATCACGCATATCGAAATTTATTATTTAGTATATAATACATGCACCTAAGATAATTATTGTGAATTTTTTTCATCAAAAAATATAAAATTGATTTAGCAAATTAGGTAGCTTAGCTTGCAGTCCAAGCTTGATATATATGACCGTTGGGAAAAATATACCTTTTCTTTCCAAATAAATGTAATAAAATTTTGTGTTGTTGGGTGAATCAATATATTGTATTAATCATAATTCTTAAAATTTGTTAGACTAATATTAATATGAATTAATTTGAGCGTAAAAGTTGACTCTAATTACAGTATTTGTATTAACTTACGTGCATGTGCACACACTACTTTTATCTTAACATAGTATTTAATTGAACTTTTAAAAAATACGCCATATTCATTGATCCTCGTTTGAATTAGAGTTGTATAAAAAGCAAGGTGGTCTTGAATTGGTTGTTTTGGATATACTCTTAATGTTGAATAAATTCTAGCTTATTAATAAATGTTATTTAATTTTTTGGTAGGTAGAAAATTTAGGGTTGTATTGAATTCACACTTTTATAAAATTCTAAAGAATTTAAAAATCTGGTGGTATTTAGGGCATAATTTTTATAAATTTTTTTTTAAAAAAAGATTATTGATATTTGTTCCAAACATGAATCGTTGAAATCCAACCCTCCAATCCATGCGATGAGATTTGAGCCGTTGATCAAATCTAGATTAATGGCTCAAATCAATGAAATTTTTTTTTAAAAAATGTGTGTCCAGGATGGAAGAAGCAAAGTGTAAAAATGACGCAACTTAAGTATTACAAAGACGCACATTAACCTTAAAACTTAAACACATTAAGTTTGACCTAGACGCAAAAAGATCAAATTGTCACTGCGTTTTTTTTTTTTTTTTTAAATCTGTGTTTAATCTGGACTGTTGATTTTAATTAGATTAAGGGCGGAGGTTAAATTCCATTTTTTACTTACTATTATATGTGTGTGTGAAAAAGAGAGATTTAAAATTCAGCACTTTTAAAATATTTGAAAGTTTATAAAAATGTAATTAAAATGATACTAATTGCGTTGCCTAATTAATAGATACGGAGTACGGAGTAATATATATTTTTGGAAAGTATCCCACAATCCAACTGGGATTGGGTTTCGACAATTCTTTCCTATTTCTCATGCAGATAGTATTCACGTATATATATACTCAAGAAAGCCAGTCTCTTCTTCATCACCGAATTGAATTAGCTTGCTATCTAGGGTAGCAATTCATCCTCATATTTTTCTTGAAATATATATATATATATATATATATATATATATATATATATAAAATCTTGCAAGATATATATATGGCGGATATTAAGAAGTGGAGAAAACAAACAGACCCCATTGGAAGAGGAAGTCAAGGCGAGGTTTATTTGGCTGTAGCGGTTGACGACACAAATTCGAATTCGTCGATGATCGCCGTTAAGTCGAGAGACATGTCGTATGCATTTGACCTCCAACGAGAAGCGCGGATCTTGAGACAACTCAGAGGCTGCCCCCATATTATTCAGTGTTTTGGGGACGACGTTACTGACCAATATTATAATCTGCTGCTTGAATACGCTCCCGCGGGTAATCTGCACCGTTTGATCTATCCTGGCCGCTGCTGGGACTACAAAATGGCGGAATCTGATGCGGCTTTCTATACTTACCAAATTCTCAAGGGGCTTTTGCAGCTTCATGACAAGGGTTTGGTTCATTGCGATTTGAAACCAGAAAACATTCTGGTTTTTCCTGGCACCAGAGAGGGTAAATTTGTGCTAAAACTTGCTGATTTCGGAGTGTCAACACGTGCCGGTAAGAACGATTATGATGAAGATGAAGATGAAGGTTATGATAATGGTGAACCGTTTCTTCCCTACCATTGTCGTGGGAGTTTAGTTTTTGCATCTCCCGACTATTTGAGCAGCGGGATACACCGAACCTTGGACGACATATGGTCCTTAGGGTGTATAGTTGTGGAGATGTTGACGGGAAATCCTCCTTGGTTGTGCAAAAGCATAAACGATTTAATATCTCAGATAGAGTATGAGAAACCAGCAATACCTGAAGATATTACTAAGACAGCTAAAGATTTCTTGAATAAGTGTTTCTATAAAAAAGAGAATGGGGATGATGAGAGATGGACGGCTAGGAGGCTTCTTGCGCACCCTTTCATTCGGGATAACAAGCTGGATGGTTATGAAGATGGGATAATGTTGTCTTGCCCTAATAACCCTCTAAGTTATGATGATAACCAATGGGTTTCCACAAAAGATTTGTTCCCATCTCCTTAGGAAAATCCAAATCCTAATGTATTGTGGGGAGTTTTGTGAGTGTGAGTGTTTTTTTTTTTTTTTTTTTTTTTTTTTTTTTTTTTAAATTGCAAGGCTGAATTGAATAGTTGTTCAATTATGTTGTGGTCATATATATATATATATATATATATATATTTGAGAACTTGTGGTCATATATGGACAAATCTAATAAAAGCCAATAATGTTAGGCAAAAAATGTGAGTGTAATTGTTTATTGAAATGAATGGTTCATATTATTTTAATTTTAGTATTATTTTTTTTATAATTTTCCTTATTTACCCTCTATTATATTATTTTCTTCACTTAAATAACCTTGGATTCCGTTAGTATAAACTTTAGTAACAAAATATTGCGTTAACTATTTATTATTCTTAACTAATACATTAGTTTCTATAAGAAAGGTCTTAGATTCGAACCTCATCTCAATCAGAGTTAGCATAATTGTTAAATATATACGAATATGTTAAAAATACGGAGTATTTAAAAAATAAATACAATATAAAATTTAATGTTGTCTTGCCCTAATAACCCTCTAAGTTATGAGATGATAACCAATGGGTTCCCACAAAAGATTTGTTCCCATCTTCTTAGGAAACTCCAAATCATAATGTATTGTGTTTTGTGAGTCTGTGTTGTCTTTTTTTTTTTTTTTTTTTTTTTTTTTAATTGCAAGACATTGGTCGAATTGAATAGTTTAAGAGTTAATACCCAAAATCGTCCTCGACTATAGTGGTTTTTCTCAATTTCGTCCTAAACGACTTTGGTGACCTAATATCGTCCCAGACTTTTGTGTTTCGCTCAATTTAGTCCTCCATTTGTTATTCCGTCAAATTGGTGTTAAATAAAGAGACAATTCAGTAATGTCAATATTGATCTCTCTTTACTTTCAACTTGTGAAGTGCGAAATTCCTCTTTCTTGTACGAATTACACCCAGAATTACTCCCGGACCTGCAAATCAAATTTTATATTCGCAGTTTTAGGAGTAATTCTGGGAGTAATTCGTAAAAAAAAAAAAAGGATTTCGCAGTTCACATGTCTATGAGTAAAGAGATGCCAATATTAAAATTATTGAATTGTCTATTTATTTAACACCAAATGGACAGAATAACAAATGAAGGACTAAATTGAGCAAAAACACAAAAGTCTGGGACTAAATTAAGCGAAACACAAAAGTTTGGGACGATATTAGGTCACCAAAGTCGTTTAGGACGAAATTGAGAAAAATCACTATAGTCGAGGACGATTTTGGGTATTAACTCAATAGTTTAATTATTTTGTGGTCATATATATATATATATATATATATTGAGAACTTGTGGTCATATATATATATATAATAACAAATTAAAGTCAAATGTACTGTCAATATAATACTCCCCTACTATACGTATAGTATGTACCTTTAATTTGCCATTTCTGTTGCATGCTTCAGTTGGGAGCTCCACGTACAATATCACTACTGCCGCCGGCCTTCTCGATATATAGATCAGAGGACGTACAATTAATTAAGAAGCTAAGGCGCCACCATATATATAAATGCTAGCTAGCTACTTCACCCTAATAATTAATAAAGGGTTTTTAATTTAAAGAGAATTTTAATTTGTTAGCTAGCAAATTAAATTACACCCTGCAGTTAGCCAATTTACTACATTACTCCTAAATTCTATTCTCTCACTTTTACTCTATAATGTGACAAATAAGGATATGATATTTTCATCATATATGTCAGTTTCAAAAAGAGTGTACATCCAAAGATTTGTGAGAGTAGAAATTTACAGTAAGAAATGAGAGTTCACGTCGCTGTCATGAATTGAACGCCCGCAATTATTTTAATTTGTCATTATTATATGTATAGTAGTGGGAGATGGATGGAGTAAGCTAAGTGAAATTAAAGCTAGAAGCTGAGAGGAAAAGGAATAATGTCTATTGAAAATTTGCAGTCATGCAATACAATTAATGCTTGTATGTATGACCATTTTAACAGATCAATCAGAACATTATATTATGAATGAATTAAGGAGGTGTAAGAAGGTCAATATTATTATCGAGCTTAGAATCATCATCGTCATCACTATTTTCCTCATCCTGCTGCTGATCATCGCGAATTTCTATGGTGTGTCTTGAAGCAGAAGAGAAATAATCATGATCATCATTATCTATGGAACATTGCCCAGCTGCCGACGTGTCTGGTAAATCACTGGAGCTGCTGCCTCCCAACTTTCCTTGCTGCAGCCCCGTCACATGGTCGTGGTGGTCGTGGTTCTTGTGCTGCACCTTCTTGCGCCAGTTCATCAGGGCTTTTGAAGTGTGTTCATCAAAAATGGACTGCTTCATACTAGAACCCATCTGGAATATATAATCATAATAATCCAACAACAACCTAAGTTCCAGAATTTAAAATGACATGCATGCATATATAAAACTAACAGATCAGATCCGGCCACCTGGAAATGAAAATTAAAGATCAACTAGGATAGTACCTGGGTGACGAGCGCATATAGTGGAAGCGTAATGTAGCTGCACATGAACTGTACCCCAATCCTATCCGCCCAGCCAGTACGTTTTAAATCAGATCATATAAATATATACCACACTTAGTTTAAATGATATGAGTTGGTTGATATATATGCATGGTGAAATGAAGTTATAGTTACCCGAATGCCACTCTGGCCATGGCGAGATGGAAGCTTTCGTGAAAGCAAGAATCTGATCCAAACTCATACTGCACGCAATAACAACAGGCCAGCCGGAATTGAATGGAACGGAAGGAAGCATATATATGCAGTACAGTAGGAATATAATGGAAGCATATATATATATATATATATATGTTATTTTGTTTACTATACATATCATGATATGCAAGCTAAGAGAAAGAGGCCAGGAATATAATTCAATTCATTACCGAATTCCAGAGGAAATATGTTATGTCAAACGCATTCTGTTCAAGGTGCAGTGAAACAAAAAAAATTAATTAATGTTTGAATGAATGAATGAATATGTTAGTTGAGACATTATTTTCATATGGTAATTAATTGGTTTGAAATTAAGAAATTAAATTAATTAAGAAAGAAATTGGTTGGGTACCTGAAAAAGGGTGAGATGGATAAGATGAAGGACTAACTTTGGTCTGCTAAACCAAAAATATGTGTCTGAGACTTGCACCAGTGGTATGCCCTGAACTACATCATGCCTTTGTTCAATCTCAATCGCCATTTGTGTTATAATTGCTTGAAGCTTTGTACCAACTACTAACAGTGTCTTTAACCATTGCATATATCATTCACGTCAGCTCAGTTAGTTTCTTTCAATTACAACAACATTAATATATATGTTTCATATATCGTGACAGAAATTAAAATTCTTACAATGAAAGGTAGTATAGATAGCCATAACATTGTTTGCCATCCTGAATCCAAAGTGGTACGTTAGTGTCAATAGGAGGGAGGTCTGATCGATTGAATTGAGAGAGAACAGTAAGTTAAGATCAGTCAGTCCATCCTACCATTCACATTCAGCAGCAAATACAGCACTGCAGACAACCATAACGAAAAACTGGAAAAAAAAAAAAAGAAATTAAACAAACTTATTTACAGTGAGTGAGACACATCAAAACAAGAGCGTAACAAAGAATATTGATCTGTCTGTAAAAATTTGATGTGAAAGAGAGAGAGAGAGAGATCAAATAAAAATGAACAAAGGAGGAAGCATGCATACTTGATTCCGACGACAACCTTGAAGTCGTCTTCCATAGATCTTTTTATGTACTTTTGAAAATTGAAATTGCTTCCAGGTGCTAAATGGACCTGACCATCATAAATCATAAATAAATAAATAGAAGAGATCGAGAATGAGCGAGCATTATATTACAACTACGTACCAAACTTCTTCTACTATAGCTAACTAGCTTTAGAAATATATCTTACTGTAACAAATCCATGGCGCATGGCTAAGTAGTCAGCTTTACAAACAGACCTATAAAATTGCCGGAAAAAACAAGCCTGAAATTTGAAAATTAAACTGTCAATTAATTAAGGCAAGTGCATGCGTGCTAGCTAGCTATATGCAACAGTCAGTGAGTCAGTCAAATTATAATATATCAGACGACTACATCAGATCAGGCTCCATCAGATTACTAAATGCATGCATGCATGCGTGCCAAACAAGTGATCCAAGTTTAAATTTCTCTTACATACATACCAAGTAGAAAAGAACCGGTGTGTGTGGCATAAACCTGGTGTTTCCCTTAATAAAAGAAGTTTCCTTTGTAAACCTGATTTTTGAAGGATCTGCATGCAAGATCAGCATGTATGTTATGCCTAGATTTGAGGGAGGGATATATAGATGTAGGAAAAGCCTTGTAGCTAGCTAGGTTGTACCAAATATTCATCATAACAATATATCATTAGAAAAAAAATAAATTAAAAGTAATACCATATGAAGTTTGACCAGAAGTAATTTCGTCTTCCCAGTCCTTCCATCCTCGGATCTGCATATATATATATGAGAATGAAGTTAAATGATTCTAGAATAAATAACATACAGTACAGTTGCACACAAAACAAGGTGCATGCGATCCAAGTTAATTAAGCTTGCTAGTATCCTTAAGAAAGAAATTAAAGTTGATCCCAATGAAAATTTGGAGATGATTGATGCTGATGTACTCAAGCCATGAAATTTTGGTATTAAACCAGCAGGCAGGCAGGGAGATTGAAAAGGAACCGCCAAATATAATCCTACCTTCATCCTTCCAAGCATCATGGTTGTCACACTAAAGATGACATGGAAGACTGCTAGAAAAAATATGAAAATGTGTAGCTGGTGCAATCCGTGGATAGATATTAATGGTTCATACCCCTGCAGTAAATACAAATTAAAGTTGCATGGTTAATTAGCATGATAGAATATAATTGAATTTGAAGGGGGGGTTTTGGGCATAATTTACAATATAATTAATGTCCCATGAAAAAGTTTAAAG